GTCAGTGATTTTCAGGGACATGTCACTGATTTCTCACTCTCCAGAGTAATCCAGATGATCAGTGATTTATATCACTGAAATGTGGTGATAGATCCCTCAAAATTCGAGATGGGCCTTTGAAACCCTTGACATTTGACTGAAATTTAAATAAAACATTTAAATGTCACAACAATTAGTGACAAAATCACAGACTTCTAGAATTTTGCACGCGTGGAATTTCACAATCACGAATCCCTAATGGAAATAGGTCCGTCAAAATGGACGGAATGGATCACTGAAAATTAGTGACATGTGCTTAAAAATCAAAACTTTCGTTCTCTTCTGTAGTTGTTACAATATCGTAGAGGGGGATTCCTTCGAAAAAAACATTTCCAAATATAATTGAAGAAGAAAACTGATAAGTTAAAATGTCTTTTCTTTTCAATTGGAATGGCATTTCCCCGTTTTTCCAATGACATATCGTTGAAAATTTCAAATTTCATCGATTCCTGAGGCAGAATTTTTCTTCTTCTCTGAATAAAAGTGGTACACTGTTTAAAAACAATTGAAATTTCATAGACAGATTGGTAATAATTCTCAAGAGGGCAACAGTAAATTCGATTTGGGAATAAAAATAACGAAATGTTCACTAGAATTGGCAAATTTTTAACAGCAAACAGACGAGAATTCCCCAACTTACTCAAATTTTCTAGATCTCCAAACAATCAACAATTCGAGAATATATTTACCTGAATTCTCCTGATTTCTATCAATTTTCATGGAATAATTGAATTGAAATTCCCATTTTCCATGAATTTTTTCTTCAAATGATGAATTTTCAAAAACGAAATTCCTTGAAATTTTAGTGCAACTGTGACTTGAAGACAACTTAACTAGATTTATCGTCTGAACCCATTGATTGAAGACATCCACTTCTATTCGAAACTTTCTCAAGAAAACACTTTGTAGTTATTGGATTAAAAGGATGCAAAGGGTCAGATAATTTATAGCCAATGTTGATTAGTGCCGAGCAAATGTCCGTGTTGTCAACCGCAAAGTATGATGCCTAGAATATCGCAGTGAAAAGTGAAATCAGCCAAGGAGCTATTTGCATCGCCGATGGGCATACAACACTGATCCCGGCAGTGAGATACAACTTAACCAAGGACTCGGACTTGATTGCATCTAATAACACTTTCTTTTTCCTCGTTTGGAGTTATTTCGCGACAAAAAGTCCGATAGAATCTGATACCTCTATATTTCAGGCACTTTGAATTGGATTGATATTCTCGAGTTGTAGGTCCCTCCCCTTTTCTCATGAATGAGAATCAGAAACTGCTCTTGATAATCCATCTCGAAAGAAAATTGGTTCGTCGTACAACAAAATATTGAATTAATTATCTTGAACGAAATGTTCCAAATTGTTAATTTCCAACAAATATCATGATGAAATGATGTAGAATGACATGAAACGGGAAGATGTGTTTTTAGGAAATGTTCACATGTGTGCATAGACATATATGTGTCTGTATACATGTTCGAATTTTTTTCTCTGCGGATGCTGGCCCTTGAAATAATATCAGTACTTTTTGCTTCCAAATGAAAGCTTTCTAATCCTTCAAATTTAGGTTTTGGATTTTTTGTATTATATCGACCCAATATCATCCGAAAAGTCCAACAATGCAATTTTTAGACCTCGCTCGAACGTGTGTGTGTATGTGTGTACAGTCGAGCACTAAAGTTCGTAAACAGAATAGATAGAATGCAAGTTCACGCTGTTTACGAACTTTAGTGCTCGACCGTACACTGTGAGAAATTTTTGACAAAAATTATCCTAGCCTTCTGTAAAAGGGTAACATGAGCCATCGTCTCCTCATTTCTATCCCGAAATTTAGTAAAAATTAATATATGATGATCAAATTTTATTCTACGTTAGAGAAATTTTATCCTGATAAAAATAAAAATTGCCGTGCCGGCAGAGTAAAAATTACTGTACCAGTAGGGTAAAATTTACCAACCGTTCTAGAATTTTCGTTGTTATCTACATAAAAATCATTGAACTGGAAGGGTAAAATTTATTGTGCGTCAGGATAAAATTTCCCCAACGTAGAATAAAATTTGATCATCATATATTAATTTTTACTAAATTTCGGGACAGAAAAGAGGAAATGATGACTCATGATACTCTTTCATAGAACGGTTGGATAATTTTTATCAAAAATTTCTCTCCGTGTACGTATGTAACAAAATTTTTCTTCAGTTGTTCGCTAATGAATGGATAGAATTGAATCTTTTTTGCAAATGCAAGTACTGCTGAGCCCTATTAATCGCTATTGATTAAAATTTTATTTATCCATTAGTTTCTTCAATTTTCGGATGTTTTTGAAAATCAATTGTTCTACGATAGCTAAAAAAAATATTGTGAATTGATTGAATGATGGCTTAAAAATTTTGTTTGGATATTTTAACCGAGTTCGACGATGAAGGCGATAGCACTAATCGTTATTTTGATTTACTTGAAAATTTGCACAAATTTCGTATTTTTTGAAAATCAGAATTCCGGGAATATCTTGGAATATCATGCTTCAAAAGAATTCAGTTATCGCTTGAAATATTTGTTTTAATGTCATTAAGTCGAAGTCAAAAGATGATTACAATAGCTGTATTAGTCGATTTGATTTTTATGATGATTGTTTAAAATACTATCGAGTCGATTTAATTGTTATCATTGTTAAAAATTCTTCACGAATTTCCCTGAAAATGAACTTTCATGGTGTCTTCAAATGGGATGTTACAAATTCACTCAAGTATGTATAAATAAAATTTGTCCATTAATATTTTATCGAAGGGTTGACGGGAAAGGTAGAACCGCAAAAAGACAATTGTTTGAGTAGAAAAAAGGGATAATAAGAGAAATGATGATAATAGCATTCAACTAAGTTGAAAATCTGACAAAATCAGTTAAAAATAAATCTTATTCAATTTAATCAAATGAAATAAACAATAAATTACACATGATAGAAGGAAATGATGCGCAAAATAATCATTCGGAAGCATATAGCTAATTTATTTCATTTTGTTTTCTCTGTGGATGCTGGCGATTGAAATAATATCAGTTATAAATAAAACCCTTCAATCAATTAATCAAAATCATGTGGGTCCTCTGATCCTACATGAACTGATTGAATGTTTTTCCTCTGATATTGCTCTTCATTCAGACCACTCCCACGTATCACGACGTGCTCTCGAGATTAATGGATCGTTAGATGAAGGATCATTGGACCATCATTTTTCATGTCTTCCGTATCATTTGGATTCCTGACCACACTTGAAGAATTCTTGGAACCTGTGGGTGCCACGAAATCAATATGATCCCCCATCTTCACATTTTCGGCCTCTTCTCCCTCCCAATACAGTTTGCTCTGAGATTCATACAAGTAGAACTCGCTTGATATGTGTCCGACATTCGCTTTCCAGCATTTAGTCACATCGTTTCGTCACATTACACATACCGAGTCCTTTGCTCTGTGAATTGTTAGATAATCCACGATAATAAGGTTGTAGTAGTTGGTTCATGTCAGAATTCAGTAGTGAAGTGGTGAAATGTACTGACATATCTCATCATCAGTATTGGAGGGATATCTGATCTCCTAGGAGATAGCGAAATTTCCATGAGAGGTTTTCCGTGGAGAGAAATAAAAATCGCGAGACAAGACAAAATTTCGAAAGAATTTTTTTGAACTTCTATGAAAACTCTACTAATTTTTTGCCGATTTCTATTGAAAATTATGCAGATATTGGAACTAATTCATTAGAAAAAAAAAAACTTGATAGATTTTGATTCTTTTCATAAAAATTATGTCTAGAATTTTTTTCCGTGGGATATCCCTAAGAGAAAATGTCGTCGTCGTACAGCCAAAATAAGTTTCATGGAAAAATAAAAATCTATCGATTTCTTTCTCTTGGATAGAACTCGAGAGAAAATGAGTATTTGATAAATTTTCTTCGTAAATTGGCTAGAAGAATGAAGCATGTGAATCACATAAAAGACGTTATTTGAATTTTATTTATTGATTTTCTAATTAATTCTTCATTAGAATCTGAAGCGAACAATCGATAATTTATTTATATAAATGAAGTTTATTTTATTGTAATGAAGCATTTCTATGGGTGCAGCCTATGACGATGTAAACGTAAAAATGAATGATAGTAAAAATGATAATACGAAAAGTTGTAACATTTGGCCTTCCCGTCTAGGGAAGACCAAATGTTACAACTACACCAAAAATCGAACCAATTTCTTTAATCGTAATTTAATTTGATGGATATTGCTGACAATTTTTATATTTGGCCTTCCCTACACGAAAAGGCCAAATATTACCTGACGTTCTTCAAAACTTATAACAGGAAAAATTTTTCATTAAATTCCTATTCTGTCGCTGGATTACACTGAGAAAAAATTTACTTTTGCCAAGGAATTAGTTTCTTAAAAGAAGAATTTATTTTTTGAGGAGTCCGTCTCCAAATATTACCATTATGTTGAATTATGAGATCATTATGATACATATGACCTTAAATAAACTACATTGACAATTATTAACATTTAGAACTATTCCAAACTATTTTACCCATGACAATTTCGAATTTGAAGAAATTGAAAAATAAGGGAGTTCATTCAGGGCCATATATAGCATAATCATCTCATAATCCAACATAATTGTAATATTTTTAGGTGAACTTGGACCACCTGGGAATGACTGACTGGAAGAAACGCGCTGCTAAAAAAATCGATTTTCCTCCCAAGAAAATGATTCTTCAGCAAAAGTAATTTTGTTCTCAGTGTACATTTTGTTCAGTAATTTTTACGCATCTCTTCCGAACGTTTTCTATTATATATTTCTTTCGAGATGGACATTTTCATCGCGTTCACAACTTAATTTATGTCAATGCGCCAGATATTAATGAGCAATCGTAATCGTTTCCTCTAATTAATTTTTATTCCCCACTTGCAATATTTTCAGGATGAGAAGGATAGGCGCAAGACCAGAAGTATTTGTGGAAATCCAGGGAGCATTGATCCTACTTCTCGTTGCACTGACGCCCACTCTATGCTCCGCTGGAATTCTGGATCCCTGGCAATGGGCACGCAGCGACAGAATTGAAGTTAACATTCCTTGGCTACCATGTAACTACAGAATATCATAATCACTATGTTTATTCATTGAGTGAAGTATTACATCATCGCTGAGACGAATAGTCATTCACGCGATTAAAAAATTCTCAACAATTATTTTTAATTCTTTTATGTTCATTAGCTATGAAAATTGATCGAAATAATAGCGAAATCTGAAGTACAGGTTGTTGATTCCGATAATGATGGACTGTTATATAATTTCGGTAATTGCTGTTCGAAATTTATGTATTGCAAAATACGCAGAAAACAAAAAGTACTGGATCTCTTTCGGAAAATTGAATTTTACTACTCCTTGTCTTCGTTTTTTCTGTTATAGCACTGTTATTGATTGAAATGGCTTCAAAATTTTTGTTTAATATTCTTTATGGCACGCCGTGCAATAAGTCGAGTTTATCGCACGCTGCGCTTCGCGCGTGATTTATAATCACATTCGTCAGAAGATACTTTGTGGACCTTGTAATGAAAATAACTATTCTTAAGTCAAATATCTCATCTCTTAAGGGTAAAATGCTTGGGATAAGAAGTCCGCATAGTAATTCGTGTCAAAAGATGACACGAAATGGATGAATTTTGTTTTCTCTCTAAATTCGAATTCTATTTGAATTGTTTTTTTCATCCTTTTTTTCAAAAACTCCGATTCAATGAATCATGAATCAGAAACTTCCGTATTGAATGAATACAGAATTTATACAGACGAGAACTTTTAGATATTTCTAAAATATGACCTTCACTTGCTCTGAATCGCAATGAGTTCCACGGAAAGCAATAACATCTCCTTCTCTAAAACTTATTTTGTCTCTTCAGGAATATTATCTAATTTCCAGAAAAAACTGGGAATTTAAATTTGAACGAACACAAAGCTTCTATTCGGACGCAAAAACGTTAAGATTCTTAAATTGACATCATCGTCTCCTCAAATTATCTTCATTAATTACGGTCTGACATAACGACTTAAGCAACCCCTTCCCCGCGTCGTCACAAATCGTTGCAAATTATAAAACCTCTGCCCCTCCACAATCGCGTGATGTAACATTTGAATGCCCCAACGGTTCTTATTTTAAGAACCCAGGATTCTTGATTTCAGTAATGTAGTGCTGAATACCAGGAACTTGTTTTCCTGTGTAATTCAATTCACTCGATCTTATGTAATTTCTCCTTAGTTAATGAAGTAATTAATTTTCTACCTTTGTTTTCCATTCCAGTTGAGAATGAGACGAGATGCTACGATGACTTGGGCTGTCTGAACATCACGAGAAGCTGGTATCATCTCATTCATCGGCCGCTGAATGTTTTTCCACTTCCTCGGGAGGTCATTAACACTCGATTCATTCTCTACACTAATGAGAATCCCACCGAGGTAAGATGTTGATTGAAATTTGCAAGTGAAATATATCGAACGAAGAACGACTTAGCTTAAGAACAATAAAGAAAATGAGATAAGATAGTGTTTTTATAGTTTAATGAAAAAAAAACTATTTAGAGTAATTTTTATTTATATTTTATTGGAAATGGTAATTAAAACAGTATTGCAATACTTTGATACAGGGGAATATGCATTGGAATGAAGAGATCATCGAGACATGCTCAAATTGTTTTATTTCATTATCTGAAATGACATTTCTTTCAAATTAAAGTTTCTGAAACAGAATTTCGTTCCCCAGAGAAAAAAAATCTTGATTTGCAGGAATAGCACTCCATCCCGAATGTTTAAAAATCTACCCCCAATTTTTAGGAATTCGCGATTGTGAAGCTCATCGCGTGCAAAATTCTGGTATTCATAGTTCAAACAAATTTATAAATTTCAGGACTTTCTCTCATAAAATCACGCCACTAGATTGGAGAAGGTTTATTCTAATGGACAGAATGATTCTTCCCGTATCTTCTCTTATTTTTCCCATTCAATTTTATCTGCAATTCATTCAGTTTGAATTCTTCGAAAAATTTGATTTTCAATCAATTTCACTACTTCAACATTTTTTTCTCGAAAACCTGACGGGCTAGGAGAATTCTACAAAAATTGTTGAATTCGGCGGAATTAATTCCAAGTACCATCGGCATTAGTTTTTAGGGAAATGTCACTCATTTATAGAACCGATCTCCAATTTTTAGGAATCTATGACCAAATGTAAGTTCACTGATAGAAATAGAAAATATGGTAGTAATTCTTGCGAGAGTGACATTGAATCTGATTTAAGGGAAAAACGGTCATGAGATTTCAAGCTCTAAATAGAATTCAAGGAAATTCATGAGTTTTCAGCGGGACTGAGGTGGAAATTTCAAAACTTGATTGAATTTTCAATGAAACATGAATATTCGGAAACAAAATGACATTTTTAATTTTTTTTCACTATGTTCCTGATTTTTCTCAACTTCCACGGAATAATTGGACTGAAAAATAAAGTATTTTATTGATTTTCAGATCATTCGAACGGAAAATCAATGGAATTTTTCATTTTTCAATGACAAGATTTCCTGAAATTTCAGTGACAATTTCCTCAATTCTGATTTTGACCAATCAGAGTGCAGTATTCGGGGTCACGTGACGCGTTTCACACTCATAATTTCCCCGGCTGCAGGGAAATTAACAGGCTAATTTCCCTCGCGCTGCGCGCTCAGGATTTTAATCTGCAAAACTGATCCCTCTCATTACTATGCAACAAAACATTCGGGAAATATCCGATAATTTTGAAGTTCTTGGGGTGTTATAGCTGCAAATTAAACGCGATAAAATTTCCGGCATTTGGCACGGAAAATGCAGCCGAAAACTTTTAACCTTGTGATATAAATCGCTGATAATCAGGATTATTGTAGTCAGCATCCAGTATCACCAATAGTTGTTCATAAATTCCTAAAAATCCCACATGTTCTTGAGAATAAAAGAATTTTCTTCTCCGCGTGCAGCACTTGTCGAATGCATTTTATAGAAAATTATTCCTGATAAAAAGCAATATTCTCAACTCAAGATAATTCTTTTCTCTACACGTGGGGTCTGTCAGGTGATTTTTAACGTTCAAGTCACGCCTATGTGACTTATCCTAGCAATTGATCTCGAGATTCTCGGAGTCTGGATTCTTCAAAATTTTAATTGAGATCCACTCACCGGAGAAAATTTAATTGGACGAAAAGGAAATTAACACTTCTGGAAAAATTAGCATTCTGATTAACTTCCGTTTTATGAGGTATTAAATCAACTAATTGAGTGTTGTTGTTTCAGGGCCAGGTGTTGATTGTTGCTAAGGATAAGTCGATAAAGCGATCGAATTTCGATCCCAAGAGGAAGACCAAGTTCATTATTCATGGGTTCATTGATACTCCGTTAAGCAATTGGGTGAAGGAGATGAGGAATGAATTACTCAAGCATGGGGATTACAATGTGATTATCGTTGATTGGGCGGGTGGAAGTCTTCCTTTGTACACTCAGGCCACTGCCAACACTCGGCTGGTGGGGTTGGAGATTGCGCATCTTGTGAGGCATCTTCAGGTGGGTAACGATTCGACTGACCTCCTCAGTACTTGCACCCTTCTTTTTTTCAGCCTATTCGCAATGCACAGATATTCTTTGAATATTTTACACTAAGAGAAAAACAAACACATTCTCAAACAAGTCTTGTTTGGGCCGACAAAATCGCTAGTTAAAAATTGCCAAAAAAGACGGACCACGTCTAAAAAACTTCGTCAAAGGAACTTCGTTAAAAAAACCTCGTTAAATTCAACTTGGGAAAGTGAAGTTTTGGTTAATTGAACTTCCGTCAATAGAACCTTTCGGTTCTTGTCTTTTGTAAAAATATACGTTAAATTTGTTTTTGCGTTTGGAATTTCAGGATCAGCAAATAAACGAATTGAGTAGGAATTTTCAGGAGAACAATATTGAATTTGATTCAGAGGAAAAGGACAATGCATTTCACTCTAAATTCAATGAAATTCGATTAGTTTCGATTTACTTTCATAATTTATCCAATCATTGTGATTAAACATTTTTCATCAACTTTGTCCCGCCAATACATGGTTATGCAAATGCAAAAAATAATAACTCACAAAAGAAAATCTTACTTCAATTATCTTAATGGGTCTTCTAGAAAATTCCGGTTTATTTTATCCATAGAGTTTCTCAATTTTGCCCCATGCGTCACTGTCAAATTGATAAGACGAAAATTAATGATTTGATCATTGTGTAGACGAACTACGGCTTAGACACGAGTGATGTACATCTGATAGGCCATAGTTTGGGGGCCCACACGGCGGGTTACGCCGGAGAAAGATTGGAGGGGCAAATCGGAAGGATAACCGGCCTCGATCCTGCCGAGCCCTACTTCCAAGGCATGCCCAGTCATCTTCGCTTAGATTGGGCGGATGCCCAACTCGTCGATGTCATCCATACTGATGGAAAGAGCATCTTTTTCCTAGGTTAGTTGAATTCTTCAATGTTACTTGAACAATCTTGAATTCTTGGAATTCAGGGCAAGAATTATTCTGAGGATAGTCAAGTTTTTTTTTAGAAATTTCAGTTTTGGGCTGCGATGTTTTTTACTTCAAGGTGACGAAATTCTAGAAATAGAAATTTTTTGATTTGTCTCTTTCTGTTGGATTCTTTCACACGGAAAAAAAATATCAGAAAAATTACTGTGCTCGTACCTTAAACTGGGTTTAAATGGCTTTGTTGGGGGAAATTCACCGCGAAGAGTACACGGAGGGAAAACTTGAAGAAAAATTACCAAACAAGTAAAGTAATCATGGAGCGGATCCATTTCTAAGTCTTTCTTACTCTATATCGCGGGGGAAGACGAGTAGCAATTTCCCGTCTCACTTGTGTCGAACAATATTTTTTTACAGTGATGTTTCGTTCAGCGAGTAAAATTCGTGTAGTAAAATTTCGTATTATCGTACAGTAAAATTTGCCACGATTTTCTCGATAATTTCGATTCAACTTTTTTCTCCGTATGCTAAAAACAAAAATTCCTCGTTGAACGAAAAAAAAAATAGTGAAGCTGTTTTAAGGGCTTCCAGGTTACGGCATGAGCCAGCCGTGTGGTCACCTAGACTTTTACCCAAATAACGGTAAAGAACAGCCCGGCTGTACAGATCTGAGTGAAACAACACCGTCTCTACCGTTGACCCTGATTCGCGAGGGCCTGGAGGAGGCGTCGCGTGTTCTCGTTGCGTGCAACCACGTGAGGGCCATCAAACTCTTCATCGAGAGCATCAACTCGAAGTGCCAGTATGTGGCACACGAGTGCACCGATTACGCCCGTTTCCTCAGGGGGGAGTGTTTTTCGTGCAAGAGTAACAGCAGTTTGAGCTGCGGAATTATGGGCTATCACGCCGACAACAGTCCGGCTTTGGTGAAGAGAATTTCCATGGGACAGGACGCTTCCGCTTTGCTCGGATCCAAGTTCTTTTTCTCGACGGGAAAGGAAGATCCTTATTGCCGTGAGTTGAAAATTAATTTTAGCAGAATGATGGAGAGGAGGATTTTTCTACTAGGCATCATTCGTACCATCAACCCGCACAGAAGAAAAAAAAGTTTTCATTTTCAAGGACATGTCACTAATTTTCACCAACCCATCTCTAATTTTTACAATTTAACTAGAACAGGGCACACTTCATTATACATGAACGAATTATTAAAAATTGGAATAATAGATAATATAATATTGATTTAGTTATATTATTTATAGAACGTGAAATAAAAATTGGAGTCCTCCAGCTATTGGTCTCTTTACCCTACACTATTAAAAGAATTTGGCTGAATTTTCCGGAAAACGACCTTGAATTCCATTTAAGGGGAAACAGTCTGTGAAATTTCAAGTTTCGCTGAAAATTTAAGTAAAATCCCCATTTTTTAGCGATATATATAATAAAAACGATATAATAAAAACGAATATTCACTGTCAAGATCCCTTTCCTTGAATTTTCAGCCAATTCCTTTAAAATTCTTCAATTTTCAGGAATTTTTGCAGGAATTTCTGAAAATTCAGGAGAATCTGGAATTCAAAAAAAGATTTCCGTTAATTTTCCCGCAATCATTAAAGTGAAATGTACAGTTCCCACGGATTTTTCCATGAAATCATGAATTTTCAATGACAAAATTCCTTGAAATTTCATTGGAAAATTTTCAAGAGTGTATATTCTCTTTCCCCTCGTAATCAGTAAAAGTTAAGCAATCGCTCCCATAATGTCTTTTCAATTGAGAATTACTTACTTTGACTAACAATTTTGACTCCCTTCCTTCCTTTAATAATTCCAGGGAGACATTATAGAATAACCATTAATCTTGCCCGCCCCCCAACGGCCGAAAGTTGGGTCCAAGGATTCATGAAAGTGACTCTCCACGCTGACAACGGTGTCATCAGAAATATGGATCTAACACCGAAGTAAGTCCACTTCTCGAATTTAATTAATCATTAATACAACTAGACAAATTCTGGGATAGGCTCTTACAATTTGTCTACACGCGATTTTTCGTTCCAGTGGGTACATGAAATTGGAGCACGGAACCACTCGCAGAATAGTCGTAGCCCATCCGGGAGGGGCTGCCAATGATCTCGGGAAAATCCGCAGGGTCGAGCTCTCCTGGGCCTACGACATGGACGTTCTCCAACCTCGGTCACTCTGCTTCTTCTGGTGCAACGACAAACTTTATGTCGATAATATTGTCGTGGATATGATGGAGCTTCCAGGGAGAGGGTGAGAACCTTTATATCTTTTATGATCTTTATATTCAGTTAAATTTTCCGAGGGGAGACTTGCGCTTTTTCGAAATCTCAGACCCTTATTACTTCTGAATGGAAGCTTTGTAATCGTTCAAATTTAAATTTTGAATTTTCTGTGTTATATCGACCCAGTATGACCCAAAAAGCCCGAAAATACAATTTTTAGACCTCGTCCGTACGTGTGTGTTTTTCTTCAATTGTTCGCAAATGAACAGCTGGAATTGAATTTTTTTCGCAAATGTAGGTATTATTGAGCCCTATTGGCCACCATTAATCAAAATTTAACTCATCGATCAATTTTTTTAATTTTCGATTTTTTTTTGAAAATCGGTTGTCCCATGATAACCAAAAAAATGTTCTGAATTGATTGAATGATGGCTTAAAAAACTTATTTGGATGTCCTTTTAACCGAGTTCGAAGATGAAGACGATAGCAATAATCGTTATTTTCATTTATTTGAAAATTTTCAAAAATTTTGTATTTTTTGAAGATCAGCATTCCGGGGATACCTTTGAATGTGATGCTTCAAATGAATTCAATCATAGCTTAAACCATTTGTTGCAATGCCATTGGATCAAAGTTAAAAGATGATTACGATAGCTATATTGGTTGATTTGATTTTTATAATGATTGTTGAAAATTTCGAATTTTGCATGAATTTCCCTGAAAGTGAGCTTTCTGATGGTTTCATCAAATGTGATGTTTCAAGTTTATTCCAGTATGCGTAAATAAAATTTTTATATTAACATTTTATCGAAGGGTTGACGGGAGAGAGAACCGTAAAAAAGACAATTGGTTGTACAGAAGAAAGGGATAATAAGAATAATGAGGATGATAACATTCAACTAAGTCGAAAATCTGACAAAATTAGTTAAAAGGAAATCTTATTCAGTTTAATCAAATGCAATAAACAATTAATTATACATGATAGAAAGAAATTATGTGCAAAATAACCATTCGGAAGTATATTGCTAATTTATTAGCAGAAATAACTATACTATATACAATACAATACAATACAGTACAACAGCAATTTCCCACTTGTTCCCACTCCCCAATGATAACCCTTAGTCACAAATGACTTCGTTTCGTTACCTTCCTCCTATTATAACATCAAAGAGTTACATTTTCCCCGAAAGGAATAATAAAAAAATTTCAATATTATTCCATGCATTAGCGTAGATGGTTCCTTCGAAACTCTCGCGATTCCCCCATTCACGGGCCAACGCTCCCGCAAACATTCGTAATATTGATCCATTCAATCCGTCCAATCCCAGGAAGCGTGAAGCAGACTTCTCAAGCAAACTCTGTTCAGCCTCGCGCCAAGACTACGCCGAGATAAACAGTGGCTCGAGCGCATCCTTCGTCGATAATTGTTGATGACAACGGAAACATCACTTGGTCAGAAGCGTCTGAAGATGATCCAACTGTTGGGCCAGTTGGGGACGCCTCGATTACTGGCAATTCTCGAGGCAAATCAATCACCTTCACCGATCGTTCGATTCTTCGAAGACAGTAAGCAGTCTTCCTCCAAAGAAGTATGTCAATTTCAACAGTAACGATGAAATACATCTCCGCTAATGGAGACAACAATGTGCACGTGCTCGGCATGCTGATAGTCATGTGTGCTGGGCTGACATTCATGTGTATTAAGTTAATACGAGAAGCAAATAGACGACTTTGAGGTGACTATTCCCAGAAGTCAGAGAATCAAAGAATCTGTGGTAGCCGTTAAGACGTATACGCTTAATTATTATTAGTATTTAGATATTTTCATCATCCCCATTAGTTTCACTAATAGCTTTTCCTTCTTGTGTTCATTGAACTGTAGTACATCACTGCATATTATCTCGTACATTTGAAAAACCTTTAACCCTTGTGATATTTTTTTTGTTTATAATAGTTTAGTGATCCTCCAGCGTGAGGAACGAGTGAACTTGTGCGCTCGAATATTGTCTCTTTCTGTCTCCATGTTATGTACATATTCGATACAAGTTTTGTATATTTTGTGTACAATAAAAATTACAGTTACGTTTTTAGATAACATGGATTTATTTGAACTTTATCTGGCGGCCGTGAAATAGCTTCTCTAGTTTTCATATGAAAAATAGAGGGAAGGAGGTCGAACTGTGTGCGGAGAATATGGGGCCTAAACCGAAAATTTCAAGTAAATCGTAGAAGTCGCGGGATAGCCCGTTAATTCATCCCATGACAATTCATCCCAAAACAAATTCATCCCACGACAGGTTCATCCAATTTTTTTATTACGGGATCGGCTGCGGGTGCTACGCGCCTTCTCATCTCCTCACGTAGTGGCGCTTCGGTTTCAGTCTTACGCTTACGCTTATTCGAGATTTTCGAGATCGATTTCCTTTCTCCTTTTTACGATAGGACGAGATCGGCCGCGCCTGCTACGCATGCGCCTTCTCATCTCCTCCCGTAGTGGCGCTTCGGTTTCAGTCTTCCGCTTAGGCTTATTCGAGATTTTCGAGATATTTTGAGATCGATTTCCTTTCTCCTTTTTACGATAGGATAGGAGGAGATCGGCCGCGCGTGCTACGCATGCGCCTTCTCATCTCCTCCCGTAGTGGCGCTTCGGTTTCAGTCTTACGCTTACGCTTATTCGAGATTTTCGAGATCGATTTCCTTTCTCCTTTTTACGATAGGACGAGATCGGCCGCGCCTGCTACGCATGCGCCTTCTCATCTCCTCCCGTAGTGGCGCTTCGGTTTCAGTCTTACGCTTACGCTTATTCGAGATTTTCGAGATATTTTGAGATCGATTTCCTTTCTCCTTTTTACGATAGGATAGGAGGAGATCGGCCGCGCGTGCTACGCACGCGCCTTCCCATCTCCTCCCGTAGTGGCGCTTCGGTTTCAGTCTTACGCTTACGCTTATTCGAAATTTTCGAGATATTTCGATAGATCGATTTCCTTTCTCCTTTTTACGATAGGATAGGAGGAGATCGGCCGCGCGTGCTACGCACGCGCCTTCTCATCTCCTCCCGTAGTGGCGCTTCGGTTTCAGTCTTACGCTTACGCTTATTCGAGATTTTCGAGATATTTTGAGATCGATTTCCTTTCTCCTTTTTACGATAGGATAGGAGGAGATCGGCCGCGCGTGCTACGCACGCGCCTTCTCATCTCCTCCCGTAGTGGCGCTTCGGTTTCAGTCTTACGCTTACGCTTATTCGAAATTTTCGAGATATTTCGATAGATCGATTTCCTTTCTCCTTTTTACGACAGGATAGGACGAGATCGGCCGCGCGTGCTACGCACGCGCCTTCTCATCTCCTCCCGTAGTGGCGCTTCGGTTTCAGTCTTCCGCTTAGGCTTATTCGAGATTTTCGAGATATTTCGAGATGGATTTCCTTTCTCCTTTTTACGATAGGATTACTGTTCGGATGAAGAATACGCTTGGCTGAAGCGCGTGACTTATCGGATTAGCAGAGTATTGACCGTTTGGTGTTCTTATCATTATTCAATTGATATTTCCTTCGAATATCAAATTTTGTTGTTCATAGCATTCAAATTAGTAACTTCTAGTGTGTCTGCGGGGGCGCACACTGTACAGTTGGCTTGTATTAGTTTTTTTCTTGTTGGATGTCGTGCCTATAGAGTGGCCACCATGCCGCTGAATAATAGAATGATTTTACCATTTTTTTGCAATGTTTTTTGTTAATCCGTTGATCGGTAGTGAAAACAATACTCGGACGGAATCGTGAAGTATCTGAGTAATTTTGATGTTGTGTTTAGTGCCTTTTTCTGTGAAAATAAAATTGATATTTTTCTCTCCGAATTATTGTTGTAACCGTGGAAAATGTAATTGGAATTTGATGTTTGGGATGAATTGGTTTGGGATGACTAGTCTAGGATGAATGTACCTAGAACCGTCGCAGCAGTTGCGAGCGACCAGACAAACACTGATAGACTGATTCATTTATTCCAAACGAGATTCGTTAACAATCAACGACTGGTAGAGTTGAATATGACCAAATGAATATTCGTTAATAGTTAACAAATGGTGCACTTGAAAAGTTAAAATCGAGTCAAACAAGACTCCTCAAATGCGGATTTATTAACTATTAACGAAAGAACATTTGGTGAGACCAAATAGACCCTCGTCACCAACCAAATCCATTCGTTAATAATAACTAATCGTTTCTATCAGAGCAGGCGCGCTGGAGAGGGACCTTTAGAATGGACTTAGTGATTTGCTTGAATCAAGTGGAAATAAGAGCAGATGTATTTTATTATTTTTAATTTAACATTTGAAGGAAGTTTCGCGCTTTCGTGAACGAAGAACACCTCCGCGTCATTATTATCACTTTTTTCATTCCATTGAAGAATAACGGTAGAAAGCGGAATAAAACAAGAGCATAACAAGAGTGTCAAGGGTTATAGTATATTTCCCATATAATCCCATGAGCTAAAAAACATTTTTTCACGAGTTACGAACAATATTTTTCATCACAATGTGGCGGAAATTGGACTTTTAGGCACGCGGAGCGTGCCGGAAAGTTCACTTTTCGTCACAGCGTAATGAAAAAGTGCATTTGAAGGCAGAATCAACAAATACACTAATTTATGTGAAATCTTGTGTCCGTAAGTGGGTCATTGTCAACCCAAGAGCCACCTGCAGGAGTCTTCTTCACCTACCGTGCCGATTCATTTGCCCTCCCCATTTTTAATGGAGGCCCCCATAGCAGCACGACCTCCTTCCCTCTCTTCTCCGTGAGTTTTCAGATCACTCTTCGACGTTGGATCACGTAGAAATCTACACTGCAGATTTCTACCTTATCTATCTGCACTTGAAGAAAAAGCTGAAAAACGAGTTTTTCTATTTTACCAACGATGACGAACGATTTCGAAAGTGTTTCGAAATTTCGATGATTACTGTCTGGAATTCTTCATTTCCGCATTTTCCACTCATGACATTTGACATTACTGGCCTGTGAGGCGACTCATTGATTGAATTCTCAGAAAAAAAAACCATTCAAGGAGACACAATCATCCACTGCATATTTCACATCGAGAAACTGGAGCGAGTGTAATCAAAGCTCACAATAGACCCCGGAAACATGACTGATGAAATTGTTTAATACGTTGTTACAAGCATTTCGAATGATTCTGCTTTCTTCAATTAACCAAGTGTTGCGCAATTTGCTGGGATGTCTCGTGCCTCGAGGCGCAGAACAAGAGCCTTGACATTTTGTTCATCTTCTCGAGTACATAACAACCAAACCCGCTTTCCTGTGTTTCATTCAAATTTCTCGGTCTAACCCGTTAGCCCCCATAAATCTAAAAATACTGCTGTGAATATGACATCACGCTAGGAAATCGGTAATGAGAAAATTCTATAAGACAATAGCCGAGGCAATGAGAAATGGAATTCTAAACATTTGACAAAAATATTTCAAGGAACAATGTCCAAGGAAAAACGCGGGAACATCCGCCTAGTCACACCAAGTTATTTGAAGCATCTCCATCCGCTTCCCCACGATACAGAGAATGACCTTCAACTTGAGCCCATTCTACAATGAGTTGAGAATAATTCATTGAGGAATTTATCATGAGATCGGGGGGGGGGGGGGACAAAAAATTGGAGGGGTCGATTTTTTACGTAAACATAAGGCACCTTGTTATTCTGGAATCTTCACTGCCAATGTATCTACCTCACTTGCCCCTACCCCAAGGCCCACCGAAGAAGACTCACCAGAAACTCTCACTTTCCTCCGTTGAAGGTGATAAAAGCCACCGAAAGGATCAGGTGTCTTCTGTAGTTCGTCATTTATACGCGTGAGACGTGGTCAGTTAATTTTCAAGAGACCATACAATTCAGATAATGGCGCACATCGTGAAGATATCTCTCCTGGTTGTTGCTATTTTCATAGCAACCACATGTACGTACACAATTCATTAACATTTTATGCAATAACGTTCACTCATTTTCATCAAAAAGTAATATCAGTGCAGCATAATCCCAATTACATCGGTCTGAGTAACTAACCAGTTGAGATTGAGTTTGTTTTCCTGAATAATTCTGATTGAATCGTTAAATGAATTCACCGCAATAGTCAGAGGACAATGAAAGATAATAACTTTGTACAAAGGTTTAATTCGCTTGAAACTGGGTCCAGGTGTCCTCCGTTCAATTACATAACTATCGTGATGGTAATTTTGACTTTCCCCCATTCCGAGCGCTCACGAACAGCAGGATCGGTGGGATGATGATGCCATATACAAGATAATAATATATTCATCGCACGATTATGCTAATGCATCATCTATAACACCCGAAGAATTTGTTATCACTCGATACTTGTTTTCATCTTCTTCTTTCACGCATTATTCATTTCTCTTCGTTCAGTCGGTCGTCACTGATTTGACCTTGAGACTAAATTCGTCATTAGTCATTTGTTTCGAGTGTTACAAGAGACCAGCTAAATTAGCCCCCCCGCATGCAAACCGCATCCGGTGTCTGGACTGTTTCTCAATCATGATCCATCAACTGCATGAAGAGAGTGGCAACCGTACAACTGCACTTTTACAGGCCTACCGATGAATAACCCTATCAAATACAAGTCTACCTGTGCAACTGAACCTGTTACATGCCCACCAAACGACATCTGAACCCAAACGATTTGAATTTTTACAACTCTATCGAGACCACATCATTACCCAGTAATTTTAAAAATTTACATCTCCACCGAGGAACAAGCCTACCAGAGAGCGAGTCAACCCGGTTATGACTCATCCCTGTACAACTACGTTTTGCGACAAGCCAACACCATATAACTGCCACCGCACAGACCTACCGCAGTACAGACTTACCAATTTATATCTGTACAACTGCACCTTCTGGCAAGACTACCCATGAATTTTATATTCGCGATATCACTACCCATAGATAACCCTACCGTCAGTCATCACTACCTATTCTCATCCCTACCGGTAGCACTTCCCTATTTATACTTGATTCAAGTATATAATATTAGTATCTCAGAATTTCTAGATTTCAATTGCTAAAAAACAAACGTCCACCTACTGGACGGTTTTCGTAGGCGTCCATCTACTGGGCAGTTTACCCTATATCGCCTTATTTATATCGGTGGGGGTGTACAGTCAAACACTAAAGTTCGTGAACAGAATATATAGGATGCAAGTTCAGGCAGTTCCCGAACTTTAGTGCACGACTGTATTTCCGGTAGGGATAACAATAGATAGTGATGACTGCCAGTGCGGTTATGTATGGGTAGTAATATCACAAACGTAAAATTCATGGGCGGTGTTATATCAGGGTATAGTTGTACAAATTAAAGTTGGTAAGTCTGCAACGCAGTAGTTATGTGCGGCGGCAGTTATATGTGGGTTGGCTTGTCAAAAGATGAAGTTGTACAGGGATGAGTCATAACCGGCTCGACTCGCTCTCTGATTAGCTTGTTCCTCGTTGGGGATGTAAATTTCTAAAATTACTGGGTAATGATGTCCTCTCGGTAGAGTTGTAAAAATTCGAATCTTTTGGGTTGCGATGTCGCTTCGTGGGCATGTAAAAGCTGCAGCTGCACAGGTAGACTTGCATTTGATAGGGTTATTCGTCGGTAGGCCTGTGAAAGCTGGAGTTGTACAGTTGCCCATCAACAGCGTGAACGGAGTTTTTCTTGCAGGCAATGGACAATTTCAACGACAACGACAGACTTTCCATCAGAATAGCCAGAGTCGACAATTCGTACAGCCTAATCAGAGACAATTCGGTCAGCATAACCAGATTGAGCATAATGGGAGACAATCGTCGGCGTCTTGTCCGGAGAAGACTGGACGATTCCCCGTTGCATCGCAGTGCGATGCGTATATTGAGTGTATCGAGGGAGTTGGTGAGCAAAAGTTGTGTCCGGAGGGGCTCATGTTCAATCCGGAAGCCAAATTCAATTATCCCTGCGGATATCCGATCGATGTCAATTGCGATGGTCGTCCCAATCTTCGTAAGTCATTCATGATTATTACAGTTTTCTGGGAGGGGGGGGGGGATTGG